AACGCATCGATTCGCTACAGAAGGCCTTTGTTCACTCCCCGGAGCTGTGTGAGACACTTTTTTTTTATGGATGGAAGTTTTATTTAACTTCTTTAGGACTGAAGCAATGCAACACCCGCTGACTGCAATGATAGAGCTTGAAAGATCAAAGACAATTTTTAATATAACTCCGACTGGATTCGTCTGAAAGAAGAAAGTCATATACACCTAGGATGCCTCGGGGGTGAGTAAAACACAGCCTAATTTTCATTTTTGGGTGAACTAACCCTTTAATAGAGAGAATTGGAGCTTAAAACAAAGTGTGACCATTTTTCTTTTTTGCTTGGTCTTAAAAAATTACCTTCATTAAACTTGCAGAAACCCTGCAAGACTTGATTGCACTGATTGTCTGAAGTTAGACGTGAATGAATACTTTCTGCAACAGCGTTATAATTGAAAACTTTCATCACTCCGCCACTGTCTTTAGCTGGACATACAGATAGTTCATCCTCACATTCACTCAGTGTTGTGTTATCAGACCCAGTTAGGCTCTTTGCTTGTTTATTTGTTTTATTTCTTGGTAACCAACCATATACTGCATACAAATATTGCATTCTTATCATCTACATGTGACACACACACACACACACACCTCTGCACAGTTCAGCAGAGATTAGACAGAGCATGCATTGTTTCGCCCGAGCAGGAAGGAGAGAGGGAAAAATAGGGAGTGTCTGGAGCAAAAGAAAGCAAGACAAAAGCAGTGAGAGTGACTGTGGTGTGACTGGTTCAGAGTGGTTTGTGTTCTTATCTGTGCTGAGCTCTGTCAGGACGAATACTTCAAATAACTCGACAGTCACCAAAACAACCCTGCAGACCCTGATCCGGATTCCCAGACATTATATAAGAAGCCACGAAACTGATCTGAGATCAGTGTGAAAGAGGCGCTTTAGTCCACAGCTGACGGTAATGATTAAGCACTGCCACCTAGAGGCTATAAATCACACTAATTATTAACTTTTGTTTAAACATCTACATGCTTTCAGACACAAGTGCAGAATAACACATTGTGATTAAACAGTGAGCTTGAACGTGTATCATTTCTGCACCAAAATACAGAAGGAATGGCTTCCCAAAACAAGCATTGCACATTGTCTTGTTTAATTGTGATTTACCTGGCTTTGTTGTGCAATACGTTTTTTTTTGTTTGTTTTTTTAATCCTTTCTCTATTTTTGCTACATAAGTTCGGATGTGTCTTATATGTGTTGTCACAGTGTTGCGAGGAGAGACATGGATCTAACTGCAGCTTGTATTGATATATTCAGGAGTACAGGAATGCATGAGGAAACCCATGGAAATGGAAATGCTTAACATGCAAAGAAAGACAATAACCGACAATGAGCTGAGGAAAAGGAAGGCTATATATACACATGATAATGTTAAACTATGACTATAGACGCAGGAGAAGGTACTCTCTAACTAGGGAAATGAGTGAACAACAGGAAGTGAATATCACATCAACAGAACCTAATGTTATCTATTGCTGCGTCCCATTTATACTATGCACTTAAAGTGTTTACTCTTTTTGTGAAGAAAAAGTGGATACTTTTGAGATTTGAGACATACTAACAGATCATAATTGCGTCTTTAAAAGGCTCAAAGTCTCATCTCAACATACTGATTTGGGACACTGACTGTAATTTCACATAATATCTAAGACCGATAATATGCAAATGAGAGAGATGAGAAAGTGTTGGGTTGAAGATTTATGAGGTGAAATAAAATTGACATTGCTGTGGCACAACAATGCTTTATAATTTTATTGTGCTGTCACACCCACTGGAACAGGTTAGGTTCACAGTTCTGTGGTTTATCACATATGCTGATAGTTAACTCAGTTTTTGAAACAGAAAGTTAAAGGCACAATATGTAAGATTTTTTTATTAAAATATCCAAAAACCACTAGAACAGTGTTATATATTTTGCTGACTTGTGTACTTACATTAGGGCTGCACGATAAATCGAAGTGGAATCGAGATCGCAATTCGACAGAAGCTGTGATTGTCATGCGTATCTTTCAGTGAAGCACGGTTCTGTGATCAGCAGTAAATCTCCATCCAAAGGCCAGAGGGCGCCCTCGCGCTGAAACTCCTAATACAGCTCACAGAAGAAACCCAGAAAATGCCTATCGCTGCAGCTGAATAAACAGAAGATTCAACTGCTTTTATTGATTCAACGTGACTAATAAACACACGATTATGACAATATATGGTTTATCTGAGTTATTATTATTATAATTTTCATTAAAATAAAGTATATTTATAATGCAATGCCCTTATCACTGCTTAGAATACTATGAAATATGTTGCGTGCCTTATTCTGTGTAAGAAGCCACATCATCTCACAGAAGGATTTATTTCAAACACTCGACTGACGTTATGAAGTGAGTTTGGAGTAAAAA